ACCCACAGCCAAGTGGGACCTTGTGGCACAGTATCCCTAAACCAGGGATGGAAGACAAGCACTGCACCTCACATCGCCTCATCCCCTTTCACATGGGAGCCTTCATACTTTTCTGTTGCAGGTCAGGCCTCACTATATGGGAGCCTGAAGTAGCATCTTCTGTGGTCCAAAACCTTTTAATCCTCAGAGATGACAAGTAATAAGCTATGCTGGGAAGCTGCTGTTATTGTAAAACATGCTTTTTCCTCAGCTACAGGAAGGTGGTATTTCTCAGAGGCTGTAGCACCAGGTCCATGTCAGAGGGGGCCGCATACCCTTCCCATTAAGCAGATATGACCACTTTTCTCATCACTGTCTGTCATTTCACTTGATCACATGTAAATCTCTTGCAATTAATAAGGAGTCAACTCATTGCACATTGAAGGGGAGGCAATTGCAGTCCCAAAGGGAGGTTTTCTGCTGGTATAGTACTCGTGGGCTGGATTTTGTAGATGGGCAGAGAGGGGCCTGCTAAGACTGTTGTCTTTAGATGCAAGTTCGGTGGTGAAAGGAGAAAATGCAGGGATGAGTGACAGACAGTGTGGATTTGTCAAGAATAAACTGGCAAATGGAGCCAATTTCCTTGTATTACCGAGGTAACAAGTTTTGATGCTAAGGGAGAAGCAGTAGTTGTCATCTCTGGAGTTCTGCAAGAGTTAATTAAAAATAGGAAAAGAATATATTTTTTAAAAAAAAAAAAAAAGCAGTTCTTTGGCTATGCTTCCTGTTTCTGGGGTCAACATAAGGTACTCTGAGAGGGCTTCACCCTTCCCTGGCAGGGCAGTCGTTCTGTAAGCAAGACAAAAGAACTACAAAGAGCTTGTTTCTGCCTCTGTTTCCAACAGCAATGTTGCCAGAAGACTTTTCCTCCCCCTCCCAGCTCCCTGCTTATCTTTGACATAACTAACAAAATCCCCATGCAGAACACCGACCTTCTGACTTCTCAGCAGCCAGCCCTTACTGGCCATTTCAGGCAAAATAACTTGGCAACACTCCAAAATCTGATATTAAATTGGACAGCAGGATCTGCAGAAGTGGAGCTCCTTAGTTTGGAAAACGCCTCAGGAGCTGGGAGCAGAACAGCAAGTATTTTGTACAGAGTGAAAACCCGAGGCTGATTGTTTTGGGAAGCAATAATGCTTTCTGCCATTCTGTATCGGGCCTGCTTACCGATTTTAATGGTTGGTATTGGTTTCCAAAGATGCTTTGCCTGCACCAGGAGGTGTCTAGCTCCCATTCAGAAAACGCCACCAGCTCTGTGCTACGTGTTACAGCATAAACCTATATCCCCACCTCCCGCAAAAGCATAAATGAAGGCTTATTCCACATTATGTTTTCTTTCAGCACATTGGGACTGGGCTGAGGGTCTTCTGGCCCTCAGTCCAGGCAGAGCTGTGGTCCCGCTGTGTACTCAGCTGGTTGGCCTCCCCTTGAAGACAAGGTGCTGGCAGTGGGTGGCTCTCTGCTCCCTGCCTGAGCCAGAGCTGCACTGTGCTGCAGGCAGAGGGGCATGCAGGGCATACGTTGGGTGATGAGGGAGAC